CCAAAGTAAAAGACCGCATCAAATAATCAATAAATAATATAATTTATTTTATTAAACATTTATTATGATTTTTGAATATAAATAAAAAAAACAAAAAACTGCGTTTAAAACTAATTTAGCTGTTGCCTCGTTTGTTAGCAGCCTGATATTGTGTGGTTTTGTGAGACAACTCATATAGAGTATATTTAATACATTAATTATTCTAAGTGGCGTTCAAAAGTAAATTATTGATTTCGAACCAGCTCGCCACATCTAGTATTTTAATTTTAGTACACTGCTGAGCAGAGACCCGGCCTATAAGCTATTACAAAGTACGAACGTTTGCCGTGCATTGGCTTGCGGCACATTTCTCCAAGAGTCATCCTACATTGCTATGGTTAATATGAGGCTGCTATTCGAAAATCTCTCTTATCCATCAGATATCGATTCTAAGAGCTGTATACAATGTTTTGTCTCTTCCTCTTTCAGCGAAAGCCAAATTACTTTACAGGCTGTGACAGATAGGAATAAAGAACGGTGCAAATACTTGTTGATTATGTTGTTGTTTTTTAGTATCATTTTATTTAATATTGTATTTGGTTGTTATTATGGGGGTTAAGTCTTCAGAGGTGAACTGTTCCCCTCCATCAAACAAAGAGAAAAATAGGTGCTATATGACAATTTCATTGCCACATCCGCTTGTCTATATTCTGATCTATATACCTTTTTGGTTGTACTGCAGATATCTATCGTAATATTTATGTAAGAATGTGTTAAATGAGCTAGGGGATCACTTGATGATAAGAGATAACCGGTGCCTATGCACATTTTCAACACCCATAAGGTTGCAGATTCATTGCCACCTTTTAATAAAGTGGGCCCCGGCTACCTGACTCAGGAGACGAAACGCAGAATATACTTCTGCGTTTCGTCTCACACTCCCACACTCCACGCCGGTCTTCTGTAAGCTACTGTACTTACCCGGACGGACCTTCCCATTTGTGCAACGAAGCAGTTGCGTGGCCCTATCACAGTTTGTTTGTTATGTAAATTGAATAACAGTGATTTTCATGATCTAATTTTACATTTATAATCGCATGCATTAAAATAATGTCTGTATAAGTTCACCTCGAAGATAATCAAAATCGGCATAGATTGTACAGAAAAAAGGCTTTCTTCCGAATTATCCGAATGCCATTCAAAACTGAATATCTCTATTATCTGTTGCTTTTGGCGTAGTTCGGAACGGCGACCTGGCCAAGTTTGAGTTAAGTCGTTGATATAAGTGGGTCAGGATAGTGCTTGGCGAAAATTTACCGAATGGTTCTGAATAAACAGGTTAACTTACAGTTGCACCTGATGTTTAATAGAATTTGCCTCAGTTGAAACAATAAGCCCGAATCCCACTTAGCTATTTCCGCATATACAGTTATATTTTCAAAAGCGTTTGGTAACGCTGATATAAAAAAAGACTAGTCTTATCGATAGTATTGCCAGAAAGACATCAAAGGGAAACAGAACAACGTTCTTCTGAAACTCATATACCTATTCGAATAACTTCAAAGGGTATTAGAAATGTTAAATCACATAAATTGTTTATTGTAATTAAGTTTTTGTTAAAAAGCAAGGAATGTGTAAGGGAAATAGCGTTTATGGTAAAGTTAAGTTCAAACTAGGTGCTCTAAACAGGACCTATCCGAGGAACACACGCTTTAGAATTTATATCAAGAACAGTTTGGTAGCTTATGTTGTTAGCATATATATATATTCTCTGTCATTTTCATATATATGCGGAATAGCATGGCGAAAATGAACAATGCTGAGAAGGTCATTATTCTTATGACTATCTTTTTAGTCCTAAAGTGATAAGGAGTATTATTATACACATTTCAGAAAACGAAAGTACGACAATCGATAAAAAAAATAAGTTATAATGATGTCGCGGCGGTTGTACGGACTAGAAGATGATAAAGAAAGAAAATTCGCAAGTGCAATTTTTTTTTTTCATATTCTAATACACAAATTCCTTGTTGATAATAATTTTTAAACAACCATAGTTACACACATTTAGGTCTTATTGTAAACAATGTTTCAAAAAGTCAACATAGGATGTCAAAATGAATTCCGTCCGAAATTGTAGGTTGGGGTGGATTTCATTCGCAACTGTTCTCGAAAGGCTCCAAATTATCTATTTTAGTCTTAGTATCGAGCCGTTGATGCCACTTCAGAGCATAACCCTACCGCAATCTTTTTTATAGCTCTCAAGGCACCTTATTCGAGATTTCGTTCTTTAACTATCTCATGGTAATGCTCCACTAGCCTTAGAATAGGTATTGCGAAAATATAGTTCTATGTTGAGTTTTATAGTTAAACTTCGATTTTTGACGATAACTTTTAGCAGTTTTGTGTTTGAAATCACAAAATACTTCAAATACAAATAGTTTTGAAACAATCGTGATGTTGCTTCATTTAAAAAAATGCTCGCTTTGTCTTTAGTCAGTGATGAGTATCGTTCATGGGAAACGATTTGAATTAATCCTTACTACCATTATAAACGCGAAAGTTTGTATGTATGGATGGATGTTTGTTACTCTTTCACGCAAAAACGACTGAATGGATTTTAACGAAACTTTACAATAATATAGCTTATAATTCAGAATAAGACATAGGCTATAATTTATAAAGATATCATGTGAATTGTCCAATATAGGTTATGATAAGCGTCAAGTAAGTAGGAAAAAATTCCATCTGCGAGATATTCTGGTGTCAAATAAAAAAAAATCATTGTTAATTTCCTTTGGCCGCGCGGGTGAAGCTACAGCTAGTATCAAATATATTAACATGAAATATATTAATTATTTTTAATAAGTACGATTTTTAAAATGATTGTAGATATTATATTGAACAAATGTGAAATCGTTACAACTTTTAATTTTTTAATTTTTTTTATTATATTATATTCAGTGGCAGTGGATGTCTTTCCCAGGTTAAGTTGCACTCTAAAACTTCGCAAATATCCATAGGAATGGCTCTGGTTTCCAGAATACCATTCACCATTCATTTGTTATGTCATACCAAAGGTTATTCTTTTTAAATAATAAGTAAATAAGATCCACTTTTATATTAATATCACCCGCATAAAGATTATTTAGCAAAAACAACGCAGTTGAAATTACTAGCCTTAAAATAAATTAAATTTGATTTTGAAATGATGGTCAACATAAAAAAATTAACTACACTAGAAACTAGAATAAGCCAGCAAATAATATTCTTCTTATGCCCTTAAATATATTAAATTGATTTCGTGTTTCCGGTAACAATTTTAAAAAGAAAATCTCATTTATTAAATTAACAAATAAACTGAATAAACACAAATCAACCAGATTATAATGAAAAGTTATATATTATTAAAATTTGATTTTTTTTTACTTGAATCTTTAGGCACATTTCTAATATATTTATTAAAATAATATATTTTCTAAAATAAATAATGTCATTATATTAAAAACTGTTATCAATATCTATAAGTCATTTCCAATACCTACCATACTGATTCTTATTCATGAACATTTATACGTTTACGTAGATTTAAGAGCGTCAGATTTAGTATGCGATCCAAGAATCCATAATAATCTGATGTATTTTCAGGTACAGCGAACTTGGAATGCATAGAACGCTAAAATTGCATTTACATTTATCTCATTACCAAAGTATTCGATTTATTTGATTAAAAGTAAAAAGTCTCACGACGGTATCGAAGGGACCTAATGTTGAGAACGAAAACTTCCTTTGGATTTTGTACTTGCGTGATTTGTTCAGGCAACATTTCGTATAACCCTACATAAATTTTGAAATCTTCAAGTAGGTCAAACTATAAGGAGTGAGGTAAACCAGAATACGACAAGTTTTGAATAGGTTAAAAACAGTTTATACTGTGGTTAGAACTATTCGTTGCAATAGAATCACATAAATACAAGCAAAAACTTACGAGTATTTCATAAATCCAAAATGAAATCATGCGCTTTTACGGCATTACTAATTAACGTTCAAACATTCGTTCAACACTGTAAAAGTTATTTTTACAAATTTTAATATTCCAGATAGGCTTCCTCTACCGTGACCAATAAATATATTTATACATCGAGGTTTTAAACATGTTCGAATTTATTTTCTCCTGAATATTCTTGAGAGACAAAATAAAATGACACGTGTTCAGTAAATTAAAGAGGAAAATCTTATTTAAAATGAATAAAAAATTATGTAGGAGGAATTATGCTTTCTAATATACTAGTATTTCTACTGACTTAAACGTACTTATAATAAATATAAAAATTGTACAATGACTCGGAGGAATTATTTTCAAAATTATTTCCATAAAATGTAGTTTCATTATGACCGTGTACGAAAGTATCCGCAAAACGACTTTTCCCACGTATAACTATCTCCAAATATTTGACAAATCGATAAAATCAGGTTAACATTCACGCAACGTACATTCATTTCAGTGTAGCAATTTTGTAAGGTGCTACAGTTACGAATGAAAGTTCGAAGAAATCGTAAACTTTGTATATGCCGTTAGCATTTTTAAAATATATGAAAAATAAATCCAGCTTGAAATAACAATTTTAATCATACTGAACCTATTAAACTTCTTAAGAACTTAAACTTCTTTCTTTTTAAGACTTCGAAATCAAATAAGAACTAACCGTACATTTTTTTATATAACTTATGATTTAAACGAACTTAAAATTAAAAAAAAAAAACAATCACACTTTCTGTGTTTGAAAAAAAGCTTTGAAAAATTACGACGTAAACAAAATAGTTTACGCAGTACGAGTTTACCGCATTTAAATTAACCGCTTCGAAATAGTTCCGTTGGGAATGCGCGTAATTAAAGCGCGAAAATTCAAAAGTTTATCGAAGTAAATAAATAGTTGCTGGAAGTTCCTAAATTTTATTTCGGCCTACAAATTATCAATATCAGGCGACAGTACGCACTAGATGAGGTATTTCATACTTACGCGACGTGGTCGGCTTGCGGGAGAAACGCCGCAAGGGCTAAGAGCAGCGGCACGCCGCTCATGGCGCGTACGGTAGGCGCATTGAGCCGCGCACCCCGGCTGTGTTGCCGCCGGTATCACACGGCGGACTACTGGCGGACTCAGAGGGGCGACGCACACCGCCCCCCGAATCGATCGGTATGACCCGTCCCTCGTCCTATCGACCGACGCGCCGCCGCAGCCGATGCGACGATAGCCGACTAATAATCGCGCCGCGGACTATTCAAACTGTGAGTTCAAAGTTGCGCGCGACCCTTTTGGGGCTTGAACGACGAACAGTCGGCATGAACGAGCTTACCGCGCTGCAGAGCTGCGCACGGCTTCGCCGCTGCCAAGTTAGTTCGCGGCAGGTTTAAAAGTTGCCGCCGCAACTATTCGAAACTTTTTACTAGTTGTCACGCGCTTGTTTTCATTGGGTACATTTCTTATTGATAAAAATACTCTCACTTCTATAAAGTCCAAAAGAAATTTGGAAAGAATCAATAAATAGATTTTGCGTAAGTTTTTATTCAGCTTTAAAAACATATGGAGAAATCTCGAGCATAAAGTGTGAGGTTACATATTTATTTTATTTTACTAAAACTTGTGTTGATGTTTATCTCTCTATAAGGTAATCTTTAAAATATTTAAGGTAGTTTTAAGTTTTATTGCGTGGAAGTAAGCAAACGCGCGACAAGTTAATCGTCATTTTAATTTTTTACCCCTTTTGTACAGAAAAGTTTTAACTAAAAAGACTAAAATTCAGCTTCAGTTGTCCTTCTACTCGTTTTCTTTCTTTTCTTAAATACGCCAAAAGTTTATTTCAGGTATATAAAACTAGATAGATATACTTTTTTATATCATTAATAGACTCGTTTTAATGGGTTAAAAAAAAGTAAAGTAAATATATGTTATTAATACTAGAAAATATTAACAACTAAGTCAACATAACGTAAAAGTATTAATGGGCATTGCTTTTTCAAAACCTATAATAAAAAAGGGGTTAAAGGTAAACGGCAGATAAAAAAATGTTAGTGCAATTTTACTAAAAATTTTTAGATTTCTCCGTTCGGTGTGAATCGTATCAATCGAGTTCAGAATTGACCAACGCTTTTCGGTTTTATACTTTTATTGGTTAAGCTTCACACGCTTCGATAATGAAAAAGTGACGGCGAAAAAATATTTTACACTGGAAATCGAATAGACGTGGAAGTTTTTGAAATGGTTACATATACGAGTAGGTATTTAGCTCCCATTACGAGAACTGCGTTCTTATTTTAAATGAATTTTAGTCTATTTATTTTGCACAAGTTTAAAATAGGGTCCTATATGGTTGGTAGAGGCGGTAATTTGTTCATTTTTGTTGTATCACCACTTATTTTGTAGGCTCCGAACGGCGCATTGTTTGCTTATTTGAGATGCAGGTAGGCGATACAATGTAACATACATGATAGCGCCCACCCCATGTTCGACGGCGTTGGGGTTGTGGAAGGAACAACACTAACAGTGACAGTTACTGCCGTCTAGATCACACAATGAGTCAGCTCACGCATGCATTCCAGAAGATTGGAGAATATTGTTCGTTTTATCACCGATTTAGGGCTATTGCAGACTATTTACTTTGGTATACTTAAAAAATCGTGGCAGGCAAGTGTCCATGGCTGGATTGAAATAAAAAATTTGATTGCCGGTGGTCGTTGTATTTTATTAACCTACATCGAAAAAGGAGGAAGTTTCTCTATTCGGCCGTATGTATTTTTTTATGTGTGTTCGCGGTCAATTTCCTCGTTTATGAACTGATTTTGATGATTACTTTTTGGTGGAAGGGAGATGTCCTAAGGGCTGTACCATGATGATAAGGAAACCCGGATCTTATGATGGAATCCAAGAAAAATTAAATGGAACCTTCAAAAATTGTAGTGGCGACTAGTGCGTTTTTTTTTTTTTTTTTTCATTAAGTATTTTAAAGCACCCCTATTACAAGGAAGGTCTTGATGGAGCCGAAAGACAGTCGAGCGAACTCCTCAACGATTTACAGCAGTTACCTTTTGTTAGACTTACTTCATAAGGCTAAATATGCCAAAATTTTTGGTTCGTACAAAAATAAAGGGTGTCCCATAAGTAAAGAAACAAAACTGAGTGTTCATATCGGCCAAGAAAAAAGTTTTCAACAATGAAAATAACTGTTGCCATGGTAACCACCGGTAACAAATCTGTAAAATTCGCGTGGTTTTGCAAATATTGTCGATGTGATGTCGATTGTGATTTTTCTACGAAATGAACCGAACGAGAATCGTTTGCAAAAAGAGTAATACCGTACTATCTGAATAATGGGAAATCCGAGGCAGTTCGTCATTTTTTTCAAGAAGGGGCTATAACAACATGTATCTACAGGAAAATTAAACGGTATAAAGAATCAGGACAGACGATTCCGGGAAGGCAACGTACCATAGCAACTGATCGAAACATATATAAGGTTTTTAAAGAAGCACCTTCAACACCTGTGGGGACTGCGGCGGATAAATTGAAAATATTAAAGTCAAGCATATCCAGAATTAAAGTTCAAGATCTGGGCATGAAGGCTTTTGTGAAATTGTCCGTTCCAATGTACGTGAAAGACCAAGAATTCCGTGCTAAGCGAGGTTGCCGTCGAGTTTACTACAATAAACTTTGAAAAAAAATTCTCATAATTGATGATGAAACTTATGTACCGGTTGACCTGACAAAGGTGGGCTAGATTGACCAAACGGATGGCAACAACTTGTGGAAAAGCAGTCATGAGACGTGCAAGCATTAATTTGTGAAAAATCGGCTATACTAGCCTAATAGGTTTCTTGATAATAGCTCGAGAATCATAGTGAGACAATGGGCACAGTCTTCATAGGATTCCTTTCTTAGGTTATTGCGTATCAAAGAAAAGCGATGGTCACGATCTTCCAGATTTTAGTTACTTAATCCATTTGATAAATAATTATATGCTCTCATACCGGACAATCTAATTTTCGATATTTTCTTCATTTCGACAATTTTCTTTATTTTAATAATTTTTATTTATTTCATTACTTTTATTTGTTTGTAAGCGTTTCCGTCTATCATTTTCAGCCTCAAGTAGACGTCGTTTCCTCATCCGAAAGCATCTTTGTTAGGTTTACCCATCATTAATAAATATATTTCATTTTTCATCATGTCTGATTTAGTTAAGCAGACATGATGAATACTTGTATTTTGTAATTCTCTCTTATTCCGTCATTTTAAGAAGCTATTAAGCTAAATAAATTTTCAGTAAATACTACTTATCGCTAACAGTCTTGTTAGAATGATACATACTAAATAATCCGAATTTTAAATTTCTAATTGTACCTATAGAGCAGGCTTTATGAAACTTTCCCACAACTGTTGTCCATTTTGACATACGTAGATAAATTGGCGCTAATGGTTGGCTGATGAAACAGGAGCTTCAGCGTGCCAACAGCTGTGAAAAAATTCATTCCTGTTTTATTTTTGTTATGTGGGAAAGTGGCAAACGAGCTGGCGGTTCACCTGGTGTAAAGCAATAACCGCCGCCCATAGACACTTGCAACACCAGTAGGAGTGCAAATGCATTGCCACCTTTAAAGAAAGTGGCCACGGCTACCACGGAATTGCTGAAGTGTAACACATCTACTTTACGCTGGTCTTTAGTGAGGTCGTACTTACCCTGTCGGACCTGCCCACTCGTGCAACAATAAACACTGTTGCGTAGTCCTACAACAGTTTTACCTTATTTTTAAATATAAAAAATATTGATAAACTAAAGACAAGAAGAGAATAGGACGCCCTGAGTTGGTACCTATATTTTACTTAATTATATTTTACTTTAAATCTTTTACATTGAAATATTTACTGTGTCTTGTTATGGAAAAGCCTGAACATGATTAATTCATGTCAATTATTAAAACAAAGTAATGAGCCAAATAGAGAAGATATTCGTTTCACGATAATTGAGTTCATTAAGTTTAAATTCAGTGCAGCTTCAGAGTACATTTCCTTGGGATTTTTCGATCAAACATAAAATAGGCAAATATTCTCGTTGTACAAGAAACATCTTACATAGTTTAACTTTATCCAATAAAATCTGTATCATGTAGTTTAGAAATTAAGCTACTCTAGGAATCTATATTAATTTCAACTCATTATGTATTTTCCAGTTTAAGTAGTTATGACAGCCTCAACCTCAACTAAGTTTGAAAACAAGTCTTGGTCAGTTTACTTTATCACAGTTTTTATTCATGCGTCGATACTTTATAACTTTACATTTATATAGTCGGTATAAAATTATAATTATTCGTTTCAGTGAAACGTTGCTGAGTTAATAAGGAATCAAATTTAATATGTGTTAGTAATATAAAGAATTCTGATATAGTAAGATAAATTCAGAAAAAATATCGAAACAACATATTTTAAATAAGATTTTCTTAAGGTTCCATTTATTTAAACGTTCTTATTTCCATACCAAGAAGCGAATTAATAATAATTGACATTCTATTTTTTATAGCTTTGTAAGCTCCGTCACGGACTTCCTACTTATTTAAATAAAAGCTTCCGTCTATACGATTACCATAAATATATTCCTGTTCATTTCTGCAATTAATTTCATTTGACGTTTTTCTCCTTTCTTATTCTTTATGAATAATTTTAACAGTGTTTTATTATTGTCACATCTTTTATAATAGATAAATCTGTAAATCCCTTAAAGTATGCACAACCTTTTAGGGCACGAACTTAATATTTAAAGACAGAACGGAAAGAAAGAAAGTTGTTATAAGAATTAAATTTAAGGGTATTTTAATAATATTATGAAATATGGAACTACAAGTCAGATTTACAAAATTCTCAAATCTTGTATTTGATATCCCAATTATTAAAGAAGGCTATATGGTATTTAACATGAAGCTACTAACAGGAGTGAAGCAGAAACGTTTCTCACAGATGATATCGCATGGAACAGTTCTAGCTGTTATTTTTGGCCAGTCAAAATACAATACTTTAGTCTTTACTAAGAAACCCCGAATGAAATATTTTTTCTTTACTTGACGTAAAACACGAAAAGAGTTATAATATATAATATATATAATAGAGTTATAATATATAGTCACTCAATTGACATAAATCATATTATAAATTATAAATGATCCAATTTGACATATATCATAGGTTCAACCTCCAATCAGGTTCAAAATAAAATTTTTATTTAAAATAGCTTATATGCTATCTTATTGTATTTTTTTAATCCCAGCCAATTGTTTGACTAACCAGACTGCTGCTTTTATTGAACAGCAAATAAAATTTGACATATACCAATTTGGAATCCGTTCCAAGTAGTAATTTATTATTA